ACAACCTACCTCTCAGGAAGCTGTCAAGTTCCAGAAAATTGTTGTTACAAGTCACAGTCACAAATCCCTCCCTCCATCCACCTATTTATCCATCCGCCCATCCGAAGCAACAATTCTCCAATCTCCAACCGAGGCCGAGGCCAGAGCAGCAGAGGGATCAGCAGGAAGAGTTGGAGGTGCTCCAACTGGGTTTGTCGGTTGGCTACTGCCACACATGACAAGTTGTTTGACTGGGGACAGATACAGCCAGATAAGTTGGTTGACAATTTACACTTTTTGATATTTCAGGATCTATACATAAACACCATGACAATACTTCTGCCATCAGGAGTTGGTAGGTCCTCAAGCGACCAAAAGTATACATTCAAGATTTGTTGAAAGTAGAGGAAACAGTCTTCCAAGGTCGAATGTATACACTTTGTTGCTTTCCGTTGCTTACCCGTCACTCTGTGGCAACCACTGGCAATCACTCCAGGTGACCGTGCCCGCGACGGCGGACGCTGCGGTCATGACGGAGGCGCGGTCGGTGAGCGTCATGTAAAACCAGCGCCTGTTTCAGGTTCCTTTCAAGCGCTGAGGCATTAGCAGCTAGCATTAAGACCTTTGTTTTCGTATGGTGAACTTACTGTATATGGAGTCCGGCCAAAAGTCGCAAGTAGCTTATGATGTTGTTTTTCAATTAGATTATGTAGCGGGCCCCCAGCTAAACACAACCATTCTGCAGCTGGGCGCTAGGTTTGCGGTAGACTTGCGCTAGTGTTTGACTTACAACATGTTCAGAAGGTCGTCAGGTTTTGAAAAGTAGCTGCTTAAAAAATGCGCTAGCCGTGCGCTAGCACTGCGCTAGATCCGCGCTAGCAAACATTGCCAGATGCCAGCATGGACCCTTCCAAAGCTGACTTCCAACGGTGCAGCGCTAGTGACGCCTCCTAAAACCAGGACTTAGGCCCTTGGGATGTGCTTGTAGACTTTGACACGCGAGTTGTGGTCTTCTTAGGACTGTTCTCCCAGTGGCTGCTAGGCAGAAAGATGCATCACATGTCAACAAAGTCAGGAGTAAAGATCAACGATGCTTGATATCTGTTCACATCAGTTGGTAGTGCCAATCTTGGCACCCAAGTGAATTCTATTCAAGCATTGGAGATGGTCTCCCATTCGTTGCGGACCAGAGTGCTTCCTGATATTGCTCCCACCTGTGCCCACCTTGGCAGACCTTGGCAGTTACAAGTTGTCACGTTTGTTTGACAGAACATTCATCGGTGAATGAGTCTATGCCAGACATCCGTCCACAGGCACCAGGGTCTCTCCCAGACGAGGCGATGGAGGCCTTCCTGAAGGAGGCGGAATCGGTCAAGTAGGCCTTCGGCATCCACCATTTAAAGCCTAGGTCCTGTCCTGTGGAGCGGCACTGGACAACACCTTATGAACTCCCAAATGGTTCAGATGTTGTAGAGCTTTGAGGCAGGAGTCCCTAGCACATTTGCTTGAATAGGAAAAGACACATGAACGTACACGAACAACAAATTGCCGCATCACTTGCAGTTTATTCCAGAATCTCTAGTTTTCTGGTGGCTACACCGCTTACTTTTCCGTTTTTTCTTGCGTCGTTTCTATGAACCCCGCCATCACCATTTGCAGGTGGCCGAGCATCCCAGTCCACCAGCCGATGTGGCGGAGTGTGCTGTGACTGGCATTGGTGGGATGGGCAACAGGATGTGAAGTGAAGGGTGAGTAACATGTTGGATGTGAACCTGAGTTTCAGAGGGATTGACGTGAAGCAGAGAGTGGCAGAGCCCCGAACCCATCACCACCAACAGTGAAAGAAAGCTGCCAAACCAATGCCTGGCACTGCGACGGGAACAGAGTTCGACCATCTCTAAGTGGATATACATATATATATATATATTAGTTATATATGTATACATATAATTACTACATACACATTATCGTAGTCTATAGCTACTCCAACATTCTGAAGTGTGGATGTGACGAACCTTCTCCTCTCCACCTCAAACCAGTTCACTCCAATTTGGGCACATGAGTCTTTGGTCATTGGAAGCTATACCAAGAGTTTTGAGATCGTTGCAAGGCAGCTGCACGCACAACAAGACTGTTGCATAGTTCAACATGCACGTACATCCATGGCATGTCCAACCAACATGGAACGGACCACCTGAATGACTGAACGGTCTCCTTCATTGAGCTCGACCCAGGAATCCAGCTTGGAGGAAACGAATCTCCAAAGTCGAGGTCCTCAAGTCCAAAGGTTTTTGGAATCAACTCTCCAGGTCCTCAACTCTTCAGGTCCTCAAACTCTCCGAAGTCCAGGAATTCACCTCTGTTTTCACCAACAAACACCACCTGTTCTCCGGTGACCCGGTCGACTCGGGTGCCTTCCACCGGCGCTTCTTCTTCGCCTTCGCCGGCGCACCGCGCCGACCGGTCGACGGTGTCGAAGCCCATGAGAACCTATCGTTCACACCGTTTCTGCAAGTGTTTCCGGTGTCTTTGGATCTTTCCCAAACAGGTTCCGAGATTCTGGACTTCCTGCAGCGCCTGGACGAGGTGCAGTTCAGGTTTCGATGTGACGAGCGGTGTTTGGGGATGCCCGGGCCGGGTGTTGGACTCCTCCCAGAAAGGAATTGCAATGGATTGGGGGTATTTGGAAATCAATTCTTGAACATGTGGGCTGACAGCTTCCTATCCCTCCAGCACACTCCCACCACCACTTCCACGATCACCCCAACAACACCATCGGTGGCTGCTGGTGGCAGCAGCCGCATCTTCCACCTGCCAGCGTTGGCAGTGGGGCTGTTGTCAGAGGCAACCTGTAAGACACCATCCCCTACCCACCACAACCCTAAAACACAAATCTGAGTCATAGGTCCTTCCCATGAAATGGATGGGCTGAACATATTTTTTCTCACCCTGCATCGGTTTGGTCCATCTTTGCATGGCCTCTTCCAAGGCCTGAATTCTGAATGCAACAGTGGATCATTGAAGTCAGGACATCACTTCAACAAATGACACCAGAGTCTGAGCAACAACGCTGGGACATTGAAGCCAGGACAACATGCAAGAAACATGACTTCAACAAATGCCACCAGAGTCTGAGCAACAACACTGGGACATTGAAGCCATGACAGCATGCAAGACACATTACTTCAACAAATGACACCAGAGTCTGAGCAAC